TCGCTCACTGACTGCCTGCGTCTGCCCTCACCACATTGTGGCTGCTTACTCGCTCGCTGACTGCCTGGGTCTGCCCTCACCACATTGTGGCTGCTTACTCGCTCGCTGACTGCCTGCGTCTGCCCTCACCACATTGTGGCTGCTTACTCGCTCGCTGACTGCCTGCGTCTGCCCTCACCACATTGTGGCTGCTTACTCGCTCACTGACTGCCTGCGTCTGCCCTCACCACATTGTGGCTGCTTACTCGCTCACTGACTGCCTGCGTCTGCCCTCACCACATTGTGACTGCTTACTCGCTCACTGACTGCCTGCGTCTGCCCTCACCACATTGTGGCTGCTTACTCGCTCGCTGACTGCCTGCGTCTGCCCTCACCACATTGTGACTGCTTACTCGCTCACTGACTGCCTGCGTCTGCCCTCACCACATTGTGGCTGCTTACTCGCTCGCTGACTGCCTGCGTCTGCCCTCACCACATTGTGACTGCTTACTCGCTCGCTGACTGCCTGCGTCTGCCCTCACCACATTGTGGCTGCTTACTCGCTCGCTGACTGCCTGCGTCTGCCCTCACCACATTGTGGCTGCTTACTCGCTCACTGACTGCCTGCGTCTGCCCTCACCACATTGTGGCTGCTTACTCGCTCACTGACTGCCTGCGTCTGCCTGCGCCACGCTGCGTTGTGGCTGCTCACGCGCTCACTGCCTGCGCTCGGTGCCCGGCTCGCGCGTGGTTGTGCCGTGCACCACAAAGGCATTGTGTGCGTCTGGACTTGTAATGGAATTGCGTAACCGTCAGTGTGCGGGCTTGGCGGCATTTCGTGAGCAATTGCAGAGAAAATTGCATCAAATGCCTGCATTGCTTGCATCAGCACTGCCGTGGATTATCTTGATGCCGCTTTTATTTTCCAATTAACGCCCTATTAGATTGTCACCTACTGCCTAATGTAGCTCCGTAAATAGTTCCTGAACCCAGTCTCGTGGAATATTTTTTTGTACGCATGTATATTGAACTTTTCAATCTCGATGGTTTAACAGTGCATAGCTTGAGTGATTTCAAAATATGGGGGAGGAAGAGCGTTCCAAACGACCGCAGAAGCGCATCTGAAGGCGTGCGCGGTGTGGTCACCACCGTCTTTGTTCGATGGGCAGCCAAAACCCTGCCGCTGCAAGGATGCCCGGAGTTCGCGTGATGATGGCTTTTGTTCCTTGACGAGATCGGCAAGGTATTGTGGTTCATTTGTGGAGAGCACTTGGTGTGTAACCAGTGCGACCTCAGCGTATTTAGCACCCACACTGCAGTTGTTGTGGCTGGGAGCAGCACCCGAGTCTACCTTCGCGAGCTAAGTCTTGCAGTCACAGATTGTAGCGGTATTGCGGTGGGGGATGGGTTCAAAAATTATCCACGAAGGCACACGCTGCAATCGAGCGTCAAGTCCTGATTTGAAGCCCTCATTTGAGGGGCCTGGTCTCGATTTAAATGTTTTAATCGAAAAGAGACCAGGTGGCTCAATGGGCCACTCTGTCTACAGGAAAGCCACCCATACGGATGCCTACCTTAAGACCTGACTCCCACCACCATCCATCCCAGAAAAATTCCCTCATCAAAACTCCATAGAGCTCTATGTATTTCCGACCATCATCACCTAGCCAGTGAACTGGAACATGTACACAAGCCTTCAAGACGAATTGATATTCAGACTACACAATCTGTAAAGCTACCACCCCAACTGTTGGGAAAGAACCGAGGACCCAACCAAAACCATCACCTTGCCATACATAGCAGGGGTCACCAAAAATATTTACAAAATCATGAGCAAACACAAGATCCAGGTTCGATTTAACACAGTACATAAAATTTGTGATCTGATTCCATCTGTGAAGAATGTGATCCCTGACATGCAGTACCCTGGCATCTACAAAGTAAGCTGTGTCTACAGCAGTAGTTAAATTGAGGAAACTAAGCGACATGTCTCGGACCGAGTCTGTGAACATAAGGCGGATCTGAAACACGGTAGGACCAATACCTCGGCCGTGGCTGATCATTGTTTTAATGCGGTGGGCTCACACGAAATAGATTTCTCTAAGACGAAGGTACTTTGCAAACCCACTGGTTATCAACAAAGATTCGTTCATGAAGTCATCCATATATACAGACATAGACACAATTTCCACCGAGAAGATGGGTGAAAACTCAGCAATCACTGGAAGGACGTTATCAACCAGTTTAAGTCATAACTAGCTGTAATGTTGCCATTTCAGACCTGGCAGCCCTTTAATTGGTGGAAGTCCACCACCACGACCATCACTGCCCACTACTACCATCACCACTAGCAGGAGGAACCCTTTATTGGTGGAAACCCACCACCAGTGCTGTGGTTACCCTCTACGAGTACCACCACTCACATTCACATTAGCTTCCCGCCCATGCTGCTGATACTTTGGTACGTCCGTCGTCTTAAAAGACTTCTTCTGACCAGCGTGGAAGAGCAGGCCAATTGCCCTCCGAGAGTGGCTCTTCAGCGCTGCCTTTCACGATGGATGGTCCTTCCGCCAGCAGTGTTGCGAGCAAGCAGTTGCAGGGCTGCACCTTTTTTTTGTTACACTCTTACTTATGACCGAACATCTAATGGCCACGCAGACCCCGATGTGATCAAAGATCTTTGAGTGGGCGGCTGGCAGCTTCCTGCATAGTTTTGCCTGTAAAGTGGAATAGAACGTGGGGGCAGCACTTACAACCCGGAGAGGTCGTGGACGCCAGGGGCGGGATAATATTTTATGGCACGAGGCCGTACCGCTGCGGAGCGGGAAAGTTTAGGGGGCCACCGACAGGCCGTTTGTCATTGGTCGGAGGAGCAACGTCGCGTGTGTAGGGGTGTGAGGGGGGGGGCAGCAATTGTGAACGACACAGGAAGCGCGCCGGTTGTTTTTCACGCCCGCGTGCCCCCCCCCCCGGTTGGGACGGCGTGGCAATGCTGCGCCACGACGGCTCGTGCCGCTTTGTTTATTTTACCGCGTCAAAAATTGAGCAATGCCACGCTGGCCGTTTCAGGAAATGAGAGAGGGAATGGGCAAGTAAAAACAAAAGTAAGGCCTTGAAATGTGAAACACAAAAAAAGGCCCTGTTTCAAAAGCGCGGCCTTCGGGGGGGCCGCCGCCCCCCCCTTCCCCCTTCCCCGCCGTTCACTTCTTGCACCAGGTGGCAAATGACACTCATTGCACCTCGGCAGACACGTTCTAAACCGCTTCCGTTTGTCTCGTTTAAAGGAAAGCGCGTCATTAGCCGGGGGCGGGCGGGGGGGGGGGGGGTGGTTTCGCGACGACGTTGAACTCCGATCGAAGTGCAGCGGCGATCGCTTGAAGGTCCACCACAGGAGGGGGGGGGGTGGGCGGCCGCAGTCCGCTCGCCCGCGGTGCACGGGGGGCAGCGTCCGTCGCTCTCGCAGCGCTTAACCACCGACGGACACAGGCGCTCGACGCAAGTGTCGGCGCGCGTGTGTGTGCGTGTTGGGGGAGCGGTGGTGTGGCGGTCAGCGCTACGCTGTGCGAGGAAGCCGGCCACCCGAGTTCGTTCCCCGCTCATGGTCACCAACGTCGGTGACGATTATCTGAACCTGTCCCGGGCCCTCCCCTAGGTCAACTCGGCCTCAAATGAGTACCTGGTGCGATGTGGGGAAACATCGCCACGAGGGAGACTCAGGTGGCCGGGTGTGGTGCTGGCCACCCACCCCTGGGTGTGCACTTGCCCCAACACTCTGTTAAGGTTATATGGGGGTCTTTGTGGGGAGCGGTGGTGTAGCAGTTGGCACGCTGCGCTACGAGCTCCGTCGCATCTCTATGAGGACATCTCTGGCTTTGTTTGGCCTCGTCGGCCAAATAGACGTTGCGCTTGTCACGGAGCACTTTGATTGGTCTCGCTTCAACGTGCTGCTGCTTCTGCTGCTGTTGTTGTTTACTGCACCGGGTTAGAGCCCCTTCACGGGTTCATTGCAGCTTTTGAAGTAACAACAGATACTTCGCAGAAATGTTCGGGCCTATGATTGTTGGCACTCAGTATTTCTGCGTGGTATTTTTGCCCAAGCGAGCAACCTTCTGCAGAGTGATCATTAAGGCCACATGGCACCCACCCAATAGAGACTTTGAGAGAGACCGTTTCTCCAGTGATAATGGATAAACCCTAACTAACCCTTTGTGAGATAGAGAGAGAGAAAATACACTGGGATGTATCTGTCGTGACCTGGCTAAGTGAGCGACATTGATGCAGCGAAGGGGTTCAGCTGATGAGAGCGTGGTGGTCAGAGCTTGCTTTCTGCCCCCAAGCCACAAAGGTTCGGAGGGGATGAACTGCAGTAACTGTGAGACCTCGTGGATGGCTTGAGCGCGCGAGGATCGGTCAGAACATCAGCCAGGACCACACGCTATTGCGGACAGGCAAAAGTTGAGAACTTCCGGCATTGGCGTGAAAGTTACCGCTGAGCTTGATTGAAAGTGAAAATGAAACGATTCTCTTTAGATGTCGACAACATTAGCGGTTGTTGTAAGGTTGTACGTGACATTGGTGTAGCCATTGGTTAGGCCTTTGTGGCGTGATATTGCTATTTTGTTATTGGTGAAAGACCTTTTGAATGAAAAAGAGAACTTGGCACTAAAGAGGTCGGAGCACACCTCGGAGGCACAAGTTATTAGTGCAAAGATCGCGATATTTGAAGGCGAGAAGCTATCGGTAATTGCTGCTGTGGGCAGTGTTGAAATCCGAGGGTTGAAACTGTGTTTTGATGTTTGCGGTTCGACATTGAGACCATAATTAAAACGTTGCGTGCACGCGTTACATCCCGCTGTTTGAAACCACGGATTATAATTTAGTTGTAAATGGCCATTTATATGCCACATATAATGTGCACGTTTGTTACAGATATCGATTGATCTTCATCAAAAGCTTGCTTTTTTCTCTGTGGATGAGATTATTTTGTTTTAACTGTGTGCCTTTATTTTCTGTCTTTGCAGCTAACTCGACTCTGCTTGGCGGTGGAGGAGGTAATGTTTTGACTTTTATTTTAATGCGCACACAAATGTTTATGCACGCGCGCACACACACACCGCACTAGAATGACACACACACAAGGCACATGGAAAAATTATCCAAGAACAACATCAATACAAAGAAATTTGAACGTTTTTATCTGTAAAGTGACAATGCTTGAAGGGTTATTGTCATCTTGTGCATGTGTTTGTATGTGTGTGTGCGTGGACATGTGTATGTGTGCGTGGGGAGCGGTGGTGCTGCCGTGGTTAGCGCTACGCTGCGCTACTAAACCAGCATCCCAAGTTCAATTCTCGCTCACGGCCAACACCAGTGTGACGATTATCCAAACTGGTCCTGGGCCTCCCGTAGGCCTCAAAAAAGTACCTGGTGCGGCATGTAAACATTCCTTCTGGGGAGACAAAGGCGGCCGGGCGTAGTGCTTGCCACTCACCCCCTCGTGTACTTTTCTTTCATAGGTACTCAGCAGCAGCACTTACCCGAACTCTCCGTAAAGGCCAGACGGGGGGGGGGGCGGGGGGGATCTTTGTCTTTGTGGGAAAAAGTTCCTACAACGGTTTAATTATTGCAATGAACTGCACTGCAATTTCGGGTCACCTGGGTTCGATTCCCGACACTGCGTACCTACGTCAACTCGTCCCTGTGCTCGACGCAGCCAGAATTACAAGCAGCTGCGCTTGTAACAGGCGCAGGCGATGCTCTCTGCACAGGCAGACAAAACGGTCGCTGAGAATTAATGGCGATGGTAAAAAAAAAATCAAAGCTTGAGCTATTTTGGAAGATGTGCTCATTATCAGCACGTGTCTCAACTGCCTACCCGGGGTAAAGTAGGAGGACCCCTTCTGTTATTGTACTTGTAAAATCATTTCAAACTTGAACGGAATTAAATCGCCTTTCTGAAAGTTGACACACGTTGTGAAGTTGTTGCGTTCGAGCCCAGCTCGTTAATTTCCCGCACCAGGAGCAGGCAACTCGGCACAATCCCCGAGATGGAAACGCAGCAGCAGAAGCAGCAGCACCGTCTTAGTCGCGTCACCTCCCGCCTCCGAAATTCTATCGACAGCGACGATGTCGTGCTGTCGATCGTGGTTACCAAGCCGCTGGTTCTCACGGTCGACACTTGCGAACTGTTCTAATTCAACGTGGGGGGGGAGGGGGGGCGGTTGTGGCGCTGCACACACCTGTAATCCAGCAAACTTGGCGATGCAATGCCGGAAACTTGGGATGGCTATCTGCAGGGCGCAGTGAAGTGCCTGCGGTGAGTTTTACAACAAGCGGGTTCATAACATTTATTGATTGTTTGGAGAGTCATCCTCTGGAATGTTGTGAAGTTTTTCTGAGCCCCTCTGGTTTTGTTGTTCTTGAAAATAAACGATAGCGACACCCGCCAGGCCCTCAACGTAGGGCCCTGCTTGCTTGGAGAAAGTGTCGGGTCTCACCGAGGCTCTCCTGAGTGATTAACGTCGGTAAGGAACGGTTGCTAAAGATCTCGCTTCTGTTTGTCTCTCCATTTTCTCTTGCCTGCCTTACGCCCCCCCCTCCCTCCCTCTGCGTTGTTCGTGCTCAATCACCACACGAGCTGCTTCTCCCATTCGTTAAGCGTCTGCTTGTTGGGGGTAGAGATCAGAGTCGGGGCCAATCGCTCTCTCCCTCCGCTTGAGTGTGGTCTGGAATTCCCTTTCAATTGCTCTCGTCCAGGTGATGGACTAATGCATCATCGGTTCGGCCATTCATATTGCTTTGAAAGCAAACGACAGCCGCATCGAAAAGCATGTAATAACAGAAGTTTTTCGATTCGTATACGTCGTCTGTAAATAGGTTAGCGTCTTGCGTGCGGCTACTAAGAGGCATTAGCATTCACTGGGTTTTAACGTGAGTACAAAGCCACGTGTTTTTAATTCCCTAGAAAGATCCACGCCTTTGCCATCGTTTGTGAAAGAGTCTGTTGCTGGCTTTCTCCCCCCCCGCTACGTTGGGATGCTTAATTTTGCGTCCACGGCTGCTCATGCTTTTTATCACCGCCCCTCCCCCCCCTCATTACGCGGCGCTCTACCGCGAATCTGCGCAGTATCTGGAGAGCATCGCTCACACTCTGATCTCCGCGAACAGATGACTTTCCACAAGCGCACGGGGCTTAATTAACTAATGACCGCCTTAATTCTATCCACCCCCCCCCCCGCGCTCATCCAGAGCCGAGCCGCGTGAGTTTGGGGTGCGTCGTTGAGGCTCGACAGCAACACACCACCCCTCCCGCCTCCCAAGCCACCAACAAAACTCCCCAAGCAGCCACCATTCGACTTGGATGCAGCTATCCAAGCTCTCACAAAGTCAGAGCTGAATAAAAACAAAAATGACAATAAAATAATAATACAATTATTTAAAAAAGTGGTGTTACTTTTTTTTCCAAACCATTTACAAAATAGGAATTCAATACACAGGCCTTCATCATTTTGTATATAGGATGTATGCACCGATATCACTGGCTGGCAATCACTGGTTTGATGCATCCTTGCTGCCAGATGTACGCACGCTCGAGCGATATCCCAGGGGGTGTAACTGTGCTCCCGGTTGAACTTTGCAACGCAGCAACTCCACGCGACGAGGCGCGTCTTAAAGAACCTCAACACGGGAACACCCGCACATCGTTGAGCAGAGGGTCAAAGCAGCTTGACCGTGCCGGCAACGGGCGTGACGGGCAGCGCATCATCGTCGTGCGATCGTTGGAATGCAATTTGCATGTGCACTCTGATAAAACTTTAATGGCCACTCCCCGCGTTTTGAGCTCAGAGCCAGAATTTGAGGGATCTGTCACGTTAAAATTAAGGTCTGCCATGTGGTTATTCCATCAAGAGGGGATGTACACTTGATTCTACAGGTAGCTTCTTCCACCTATATCAGGACCAACAATGAGGCTTCTAAAAACTCCCAAGGGCTACAACCGTCTGAAGCGCTTGCTTCAATTTGCCACGCTTTGCACGCAGCGCTATTTCGTTTTCTATACGGACGGCATCAATAATGAAAGGTGTTTCCGGATACTTTGCCACGGCGTCCTTTTTTTATCCCAGCACCCCTCCTCCTCCCCGTCTGGCCGACTAGCCGAACGCAACCGTGCTCAACCGCCGAGCCTGTCCATCCGGGGTCAGTTGCTTCGATTCTGCAACCCGCTCGCCCAATTCCGCCGGGGCGCTAGCTAACCCTGCAGCTTGCCGCGGCTTGCCGCGGCTTGCGCTTCTCAAAGGGGCCACCCCCCGAGTGTGGCCAACGGCAGAGCCCGAACCGATTCCTTGGAAATCGTTCGCACCCGAACGGGCACTGGTCCCCTTCTGATTTCAACGAGCGACGATTGGCTACCGTGGTGGCGAAGATTCTTGTCGCGGAACGGAGCTGCCGTGCTTGCGTCGGGCCGGCCTGAGATGAATCTCCCCGTCTCGGTGGCAGCGCTCGCTGGAAGCGGCGGCGTTTTTGCCGGCGGCACGGACGGGCCGTGCGACCGGCGAGCGAGGCGCGCGCCATCTGCGGGGGTGGGGGAGGGCGTTACTGCGAGCGCCTCCGGGCCGTGTCTGGAAGACGCCGCGACACCGCAGATTGCTCACCGAGGGCCGCGGCGGCGCAGAACGCCGACGGCCACGTGAGTGGGCGAGCGAGTGACGAGCGTGCCGAGCAGAGGCGCCCCAGGGATTTGGCTTGCGCAATGGCGTTAATTTCTATCCGTCACGTCGCTCCGATGGAGTCTCACAGAGTGTAGGAAGCGGCGTGTGTCAACGTGACACTTTTTTGCTGATTGGCCGTGTCGGGTGGTGGAGGGTTACGACACATTTATAAATAACGCACTGCGCTGCAATCCCGGTGACCCGGATTTCGTGGTTTTCTATTCACACGGGTAATGTGGGCGTGCGTTGGGGCTCCACGAGTTTGGGCTTTTGTTGAATGGACACCTGGCGTGGAGTGTTACTATGAACATTGGCACCGGGAAGACAAAGACGGCCAGGCCACTTGTCATGCTGACGTTAACACTTAGCTGCTCCGTGCGTCCCGGCCACTCACGGGCGTGGGTATGCACTGGAGCCTGTTCTAGCCTCGACTAAGCTGACCCAGTATCCATGAAGTCACACCCTGATTTGGGGTGAAATTGAGTCTATTCCAAATTGAGTCAATTCTTGCGATCGCCAATGCATTTCAAGGGCCATTCTTTCCGCGTGGAATTTGCTTGAATCGCCAGTCTGATTGGATGGATTTGGCAATGTGTAGCCAAGCTAAACATAGCCGAAGGTCCGCGAAGCTAGATTAACAAAAACATCGACTAGGAATCTGATCCTAATTCTACGTATAATATTCCATTCAGTCTAACGGAGACTTTTGCCTGGGAAATTGCCTTGAGAAAAACTGCGATTCGCGGATGCGATTGTCTTGGATGGAAATTTAAGAATGGATAATGGTGCCTTCAGGAAACTCACGTGCAAAATTAGGATGTTTATTTGTCCTGTGCACTGTAGATAACTTTAACACAAAAAAACAAAATACCGGCGATTTGCCCCATGGGGGGACCGGCAGATATTCTGAAGGCAGTTGTTTCCAAATTATTCCACAAGCAGTAGCAATTTAGACAATAGGTGATTTCAACAGCCGTGCTATAATCTTCCTCATTTAACTTAAACACTTGTAGTTTCTGCACCCGCAGGTACACCTGAAGCAAACGTTTCTAAACGCAAACGATTAAAAATAAACAACGGTTATTACGGACGTTTTAATTTTCTTGAAGTTACTGCGACAGGCCCGGGCGGTGATTGTTATTAATATTACGGCTACTACGCCAGGCGGATGGTGGTGGCTGTGTGTTCCTGATTAACGACGATAGCGGGCTACGTACGGTGTGTGCGCGCCTCCAGATTAACGCTCGGCCCAGCCGCCTCTCTCTCTGACCCGCTCGCTCGCAGCCTGCGCTGCTGCGGCTGCATCGGCCGCTGCTGTTTTCGTTTTTCCCTAAAAATCGTGC